AGTTCGCTCACGCGTGTAAATAATTGTAGAGGGACCGCATATCCCATAGGGATGGAGGCACCGCCTCCAGCGGTGTAAGATCAATAATAATATTTCGTGGCTTTAGTTAAATAATGAACCTCGTGGTTGCTTCCTGATAACGGCTTACTGGTTGGTACTGGTAGTCTAGCACCCGTGACTGACATCTCCGTATCTTTACTTCTTTTAATGGATAGAAAAAAAGAAGAAAAAAAGAAGAAAAAAAGCTATGTTTACGAGGTATCCCACGAGATAGCTTAAATCTCTTAGCTAAATAATGGACGCTCGAAAACCTCTGCTAGACTTCAGTATAAAGAGAGAGAAGCTCCTGACAGATTCTCCATTCAATATCCCGAACGGTGGTTTAGAAGCTAACTAAAAGATCTTGATCATTGTGTACGCCCCTGGTAATGAAATCATGTACGTGAAAGAAAAAAAGATATGAAAAACGGATGTTGCCCCTGGTCGGATTCGAACCGACGTCTTTCGCTTGGCCTTCGCTGGTAAGAATATACGCTATAAGAAAAGACAAAGACAAACGCTGGCCGCTGAGCTACGCGGGCTGCGGCTTGGTTGAATCCGAGGAGCCAGAATCTAACATAAATAGGCCCGGAGGCACTAACTGGGTGAGAGGCTGGGTCTGTGGATGAGTGTGTAAGAGTGGTTGTGGTGGGTTTTGATGACGGCGGTGACTGAGATGGGAAATGGTGGGTTGAGAGCATTCGACATGTGAAAAGTTGAGCTGAACATATTCTAAGAGTTTCAATAGGACAATAAGAAAACTTGGAAATTACACAAATTTGGATTTTTTTTCTTACTCTAGTCTTATCTCTTCTGTCCCTACACTGTAATCAATTAATACATGAAACTTCTTCAAAATAGAAGCTCATTTTGCAAAGTCAGTAACTAGTCATGCCAATACGCTCTTCCCCCATCCGTATCCTCATCATTATTTAGTATGATGAGCACTGTTCGCTGGCAATTCGACCATGAATCCTAGTCAGCAGTCCCGGCAGGGGTCTTTGGCTTCAGAAAACTGAACGCTGATGCACCCCCCAATGGATTGCTCACGGATGGAGGTACTGAAGTCGATGTGGTTGTCACCTTCCCAACTTGATGATTCGCTGTGGCTGTTGTTTTACTCTCGGCAAAACTCCCACCCAAAACAGGCCCGCTCATGCTTCGCTTCGAGATATTCCAGCTGCTAACGGCCGGTTGTACCGCTTGCTTCCTTCCATCCCGCTCTCCGGTAGATCTAAGACCCGGAGCTGGCTCATACGCAGCACCGGTCCTAGCAGATGATGAAGTGCTGCTGCTGGCTTTGGTGGGTCGCAGAACCTTCATACTTCGAGGTCGAGCAGCAGGCTGATAGCCACTCAGAGGTGGATCACTGCCAAAGGCTCCGGCTCCGGTTCGCCATGCGGTTCTAATAGCCACGCTCGGTTCCCGACGAGCGGTTTCCGGTGCGCCTTGGGACTCCTTTCCAGATGTTGTCGTCACATCCGTAGAGGTGACCGCGGGTTCAGAGGTTGGTTTTTCACTCTCAGCTCCACTCTCAGATGTAGTACTGACAGCAGGCACTGCCTGCTCCTTGTTAGGCTCGCTGGCCTTTGTGGTTGGTGAGAGAACTCTCTGGGACCCGTTCGTCATAGGCTTTGTGGACTCCGGCGTCTCAGACGACCCTTCAGTAGGATGTTGGAAACGGGCTTTGGATTTCTTCTCAAAGGCGACAAACTCCGGGGCAGCAGCGTTAAGCCTAGTCCTGCTCAGCATTGTGTTTGCAGTGGTCAAGTGTTTGAACACAGCGTCATCCTCGGGCCGTACAAATGGAATCGAGAGTTTGTTGCGATCGCTTCCATACAAAGTCATGCAGTTCTGAGAAAGTAAAAGGTCGGCACTGTGCATTCGAAGAGTGTGACTGCCAACAAAGACACGGATGGCTCTCTTGTGCTCAGGAGACTCCTGATGCTCGGAACCTGTCACCTCGAAAACGGCCGTGATGTTTGGCAATTGCCCACCGGGACTTCCAGAATGTGAATTGGACTGCGTGACTCGCGCCTCGGCCAGGTAAACATGAAGGGTGATTCTGTGTACACCGTCCACGTCCCTCTGTATTTCGCCAAGCAAGTCAAGGTCTCTGAGAAGCGAGTATTCCACCGTCGACTTCTGAGAGCCGGTGCAGACCACAGCATACAAGAGGGCCTCCGACGTAAACTCTTCCGTCAGCCAGCACCGAATTATTGAAGGGGCAGATCCTAGGTAGTTCAAACCTGGTGCTGGTTCCGGGAAATCGATGGGCGAGTCGTCCTCGTGGTCACCGATGAAAACGTTGGGATCTAGACCGAGACTGCTGGTGCGCCCAGATACTCCTGAATGCGCAGAATGGACGGAATGACCAGCCGAACTGTGTCTGCCATCCGATCTGTGTGAGTACGACCGCTCCATCATCGGGTGTCCTCCCATACCACTGCTGGGTCGTATTGGTCCAAAGTCATTCGAGTGACGAATCCCATGACCCCCAAAGCCCGCTCCATGCAAAGCACTCTCGTCAAACCGAACGCTGTTGGCTCGGGATGCCGCCCCGCGTCGCATGGGTTCGTCATCAGCCTCAAGTTGAAGTGCCCCTAGTAGAGTCTCGCCTTGCTCTTCAAATTCGCTGAGCAAATCGGCCGTCGACATATGGACGGGCCCTATGTGATGTATAAATATTAGCCAAACGGTTGACAACAAAGACGATGTGAATAGATCTGGCTAACCGTGTTGGGGTGTTCCGCCAAGAACGCTAGGAAATGGAGAGTTCCAGACAGACTTCAGGGCAGCATCATCAGCTTGACGTCTTTCGAGCTGTCTTAGTCTTTCAGAGTGCTGGTGCTGGATGTGTTGAACGCGCTTCAGCTCCATCTGCACATCGTGGAGTTCTTCGCGGGTGGCGATGAAGGGCGGCTCCATGCCCACGTAACAAAGTAACTGGTCTATTGTTGCCGTGGTTGGAGAGTACGGGCGGGGATACGAGAGGAGGGGAAACTATTTATGCCTTATTCCCAAACAACGAACGACGTGAAAAAGAATCCCAGTATTTGGTGTTGTCTCAATACTTTTGTTATCTTTGACCTCGATCCTTGAGTTTGCAGTTCAATTATCGAGGTCCAGCCGCCCTCCGCATCACCCGCAAAGACCCCCGGGTTCTTTCAACGACAACAATAATCCCTTATGTTTCTTCTCGCACTCGAATGTTCGATCGGGCTACGGGATGACGAGATGTCTAGTCCAGCGTCGAGAGCGCGAGGATTTTGTTGGGGTTGAGGCGACGGGAAAAGATGGAAGGGGGACTCGGACGACAAAGATCGGGGACACGATGCGTTGCAAGTGGGAATGTGAGCACAATCGACACACGAAACGAAACAAAACAGCTGGAGAATGCGAGGTTCCGTCAAGTTCAAGGAAAAGGTTCCCAAGAAAGTATTATTTCCCGTTTCCGTTGTTCGTCCGTATGCGGGCAGCAGCAAGGCTGAAAAGAAATAAAAAGTGCGTGTTTTGGATTCTGGTTCTGATTGTGTTTTCTCTGTGTAATGTTTCTGTTTCTTGTTTCTGTTAATATTCCATGTGATGTTGGAAATTGGAAGACGGGAGCCAATCGACGGGCGTTTGCAGGTGTTGGTGGGAAGTTGGGTCGCCTTCAAACAAAAGGTTCCCAAGATCCCACCCACCTACATGCACAACATTACTGGCTGGATCCGGATGCTGGGTTACTGGTATGACTAAGCCTGGGCCCTGTATTTCTTGGGGAGTGTGGTCCCTGAAAATGCCTGGGCGGGAGGGGTGTTTAGCCCGGGGTTCGTATGGGTGGGGGGAACCACTCACACCTGTCCATAGACATCATTTATCTCTTTTTAATAAACAGCAACCACGGGAACACTTGAAACTCTTGGCCACACACTCGTGCACGGCACACACTGCAACTGCAAGGAACGACATTTAAGGGTTCTAATTCGTCGTCATAATTACTTGTAAGTCCAAATGGACACCTCCGATAATGCATACTGACCACACCTGTTATCTGCAGTGGCACATGTATCACCTATCCTTTTATCCCTTTAGGTGGGCATCCTCTTCCAACCACGGAGCAAGGCGCCAGTCTGGAAGAACGTATGCAACCCTGTCTTCATCCCGTGTGCCAGCCCATTCGGAGCCGATGTGTGGCCGTACAATGTCGTAAAAGATGCGATACGATTCCGAGCTCAAGTGGAGGCCATCTGGGAGCAGGTGTTCTAGATATCCACGCACGCCGCCTTCTGGGTCACCAAGCTGTGGGCCGTTGGGATTATGTTCCGGCGTCTTTGAAATGGCGACATCCATCAGCGCTTTCCAGAGGTCAATGAGCACCACGTGGGGTTTTTCAGCGGCAACCTGACGAACGGCTTCCGAGTATTTGGTACTGATTTTGGTGTGCCTTGTTGCCGATGGATGCCCCGCAGCGAGATCCAGCTGTGTGATGCGAATTTGGTCCAAAGGAGGCGGGGTGATCAAGAAGATCTTGGGCTTGTGAGCCGTAATGTTGGGATGGGAAATAATCTTGGCCAAATTGTCCTTGTACTTTTCCAACGGCACATGTTGATGGTTGGTTGGCAGACTGACCGCAGCATCGTTGGCGCCAAATAGGACAAACTATTTCTCAGGTCAGTCACTGACAGTATGGCAACTTGCCAGCGGCAGCACATACGAGATACTCCAGCTTGGGTCCGCCTGGGACTGGTGGAGGAAATATCTGTGGCAAGACACTCAAAGCATTTGAGGTATTGTAGCCAGATAGACCGCGGTTGATGACATCAAACCGACGAAGAACCTCTAATATGAGGTAGCTGTGTTAGCTCATGAGAGTTAAAGGGGAGATCATGTTCACTAACGTGCTTGAAGGGCAGCCTGGAAGGAGAAGCCATCGCTAACGTCGACAACTCCCTGGAAGAGAGAATCGCCAAAGAGGACGATCTGAGGGTATGCTGCCTACGGTGGGGTCATCATTATCGTTATCAGCCTTTCCATTCTTGCCGCAGGAAGCTTTATTCTCAGAGACTACTACTTCGTAGGGCTGATGCTAACTTACCGCCATGCCTCTTGGATAACCGATGTGTGGGAAAGGTGTCTTGAGAGAAGAAGATGCTGGCAGATGTCTACCTCCAGCGGGGTATGAGTTTAGTCTTATTAGTCTGCGTGTAAAGGTGGTGTAATGGATTATTCAATGGCTTCGTGGGTTGCCTTTTTATGCGAAGCCGGAAGCTCCCCCTCCTCAAATACCCGAAACCGCTTCCTTGACCTCCTAAGGCATCAGTCCGGGGGTACACACACGCAAAGGCCCAGGCCCATGGCATGACCCATTTTCATTCATCATCCCAACAACCATCCCAACCACACACGAGGCGGACGATTGTGATGGACGAACGGGGGTTTTCTCGAAGCCCATGTCGAGAAGCAAACAATTGCATTATACGACTTGTGATTCGTTGCACACCCCCCGCAAGCCGCCGCAAGCCGTTTATCTCACCGCATCCAGCGATTTTCAACAAGC